CAGACAGAATTTTTTGGAATAAAGAAGGTGAACAAGTCCACAGTAAACTATATGGCATCTGCTGTAGTGTAGATGCGCCAGCCCGTGCTGCCATGTCAAATATAATGCAATATAATGCTTTTATCGGCTGTGGCATTTGTTATCATCCGGGCAAGGCAGTAGAACTTGTTATAAAGTACCCTGTTGATGTAGGTCATTATGAAGATAGGGAAGATCATGAAGTCTTACAAGATATGATAGAAGCTGTTGGTGAAGGGCATATTGTGAGAGGTGATCTCCCTTGATAAATATGCCAAATTTTCCATAGTTTGGTGGTTCCCACCTGACTTCATGCATTGTGTTCTACTTCGTGTAACTAAGTAGCTGGCCTGTTTATGGTTTGATGACAGTCCATATTATATTAGTTCCCCTAACATTGTATCAAGACTAGATAGACTTCTGAAACAAATTAAAACTCCAATGTTTGTAGCGACGAAAACCAAGACCAATATCTGAAAGGAAATATTGGAAGGCAAGTGAGTGGTGTAACTGGCTTTTATTCTTTTTATTGCCTTGTCTTCTGGGAATTCTTCATAATGTTTATTTAACCCATGTTTGCCTCCTTGTAAAAGGTGTTCACGTTTTGTTAAAAAAGTCAGTAAGCAAAGAAGAAGTAAATGTGGCCGACAATCTATCATTCCAATTTGTTAGATGAATGCAGCTACTGTATGAATCCAGTGCAATGACTTTTAATGTCCGCTCATTGACGCACCTAGCAACAAGTGTTAATATGTGGGGCCCTTTATGGAGTCGCTCTTGTTTTCCATTTGAATCTGCTAATGGAAAAATCAAAACTCTTCTAAAGGAGAACAGGGGCATAATGCAACAAACTATGTACAAGTTCTTGTTAATTAGAACACTGCCAACATTTCCCAAAGTATATATGATGTCAAATAGAATTAAAGTGTATTGTGACAATACTTTTTACCCAAGAAAATGTCATCCTTCAGAAATAATAGGTCAGGTACAGAGTATTTTATTTGTTAGATGGAACTGGAACCCAAATCATGTTGCTTTGTGTTAATTGTCTGTTGTTAATGTTATAAATGTATTTTTATAATTTAAAGACAATATTTCTAGTTACGATTTTGTTGCTACAGTATATGAGGCATATCGTGGTGAAATGGTTAAGTCACACACAGGCCTGTATTGAGTAAATGAACTATAAAATATGGGAGCCCAAAAAATTGCCTAAAAATCCATTTTTTCCCCCACTATATATCAACAGTTTAATGTCTTATTCATCGTGTTCCAAAGTATTAGTTCTGGAAGTGGTCAACAAATCGTTTATTTAATGTTATTTAGATAGTTAATTTGATGCATAAATAGTTTTGGAAGGCAATGACTCAAGATCATAATTATCTTGTCTCTAAGAGTGCTGTACTTTCATTTTCCAATAACTTATGCTTGAAATGTCCAATTTCAATGAATGGTACCCCTCAAGATCACATACTCAGGTATCTGAAAATACCAATGACTACAACTTGGCCATTTTGCCACAACATTAAAATTAGGCGAGACTTTTTTATACCTTGTTTCGCGAACTTTAGTTTTTTAAAGCTTGTTGGAGAAGGACTGGAAAAAAAAAAATTGTTTTCTTATTTAGAAAATTATTTAGCCAAATTTAGACATAGGAAAAAATAAAAATAAAACTGTGTAATAATAGGATGGGTAAATGATTTAAAATTATATAGTTGGAAAGAAATATACATACAGGTATCTTATTTTGTGAGATTTCAAGGCAGTGGGGGAATAATAAAAATAAAGAAAAACTTGTATATTTCTTTGACATTTCATTTTTTTGTGGCAGCATGCGTGATAATTGGCAAAAAATGTACTTTTATTTTAAATCTTCATTTTGCATTATTAAAAGGTATAAAAAAGCCTTAGCTTGCAAGTATGGTCTGTTTAGGTTATTATCCATTGTTTGGACCTGACATTTATTATGTAGTACTGTATAGTATTGCATAAAGTATCCTGAGGATACTGATTAACTTGATAGTGGGAAAAGCAATACAATATGTACAATGTTGCCATTTAGTTCACCATCTTGTGTGTTGATAAAAAAGAGTGGAATGCTTACGTACAATGATGACATTGATTCTTTATAATTTTATTTTAATTGACCTAAAAATGAGATTTATACAATAATTTGAAATGCAGGAACAATTCATTTATGATATGAAATCAACAGAAAATTAATTATAACAACAATAGTTGTATATGATCTCGATATTGTTTCAGGATTCAAGTGCAATGTTGATGACCAATTTATTTATTTTCTTAAAATATTGAGCCTCCTTTTTGATGTACAATTTATAATAGCATGAATGGAGTAATGACTTTGAAATCAGGGTGTGTGGTATAGATAAGAATCCTACAGTATTATGAAAATACACAAAACAAGAAATCCTTATGGTAAATGGTCAGAGTTTTTTTTAAAGTAGCACATGCACAAGGGCCCATTCTAAAGGTTAAGAGGTAAAATATACATTTGAAGGATTTTTTTTCCTTATTTTAAAACCTCTGTTTGGATATCAATAACAAAAATAAGTGTTCCCCTTGATAGGTGTTAAATATGTTGAAATTTACAGTTAATACTATTAAGTTTGTATCAACCAACCAAAGCACTGGAACCATGTCATGAAACCTATTCCGTGTACACCAAGTTCTTCCCTTATAATTGTTATGTTGTGTAATAATAAACTATAGTTTTAAATTGTGAAACTTGTACATAAGGTATGCAGCTGTATATAGTTGTAAATGATAAAATAAATGTGAACTGGCTTGCTATACAATACATTGTACTGCTGTAAATATTTGTATGAGAGGTGAAGGTGAACTCTGCGGGTATAAATCAGATATTTATCTTCGTATTTTCTCCTTATTAGATGTAGGCCGAATCGTTGGTTTTGGTATGAACGGGCTACTTTGAAAGCAAAGGTGATGAAAAAAGCTTCCTAAATTATGCCAGAGAGTCTCCTGAACAGGGTGTCCCAAATAAGGGGGGTTCAACTATATTTTCCTTTATTCAAATTTAAACTTTGGTCATACTGTAATAGCTTTAAGAATATTAACTATTATTCTATGTTGTGTATTTCATCATAGTACATGAAGATGTTTCCTGTAATATTTGTGTACAAAATTAATAAAATTATTGCACTGAAGAATTGAATGTGATAAAACAATAAGATAATTTATGTACAGGTGTTATTTTGTTTTTATAATACACATTTTAAGTATTTACATTTTCGAGAGGTCTAGCCCCATTGGGGAAAAGTCATTACACTTGCTGTTAATTTTAAACATTCCAAACTGAAAATGCATCAACTATTTGGGCATCCAGTAAAACAAAGTTGGCAGCCCAGTTCAACCTAGATCTGCCAACATTAATAAAATTACCTATTATTTCAACAAATTTCAAATTGAAGGAAATGTCACCATTTAAAATACAGTAACTGAACATGAAACCCAGATAAGCATAGTTGACAGCCCAGTTCAACTTAGTTCTGTCTTCTTTATTACCTACAGTTCAACACATTTCAAATTAAAGTAGAAATATAAAACCATTTGTAAATTCCAACTAGGTTCTTAAACCAGTTGGAAAACCGAACTGGATTTTAAAAAACATAATTCAAATTAAATGTAGAAATGTAACCATTTGAAAATTCCAACTGGATTTTTAAACCAGTTGGAAAACCGAACTGGTTTTTTAAAATTGCCACCCTCTTAACTGGTTCTTTGAAATCACTGAACATTTTAATTGTGAAAAAATCGAACTCAGTTAAGCACAGTTGACAGCCCAGTTCAACATAGTTACGACAAATTATACCTAGTTCAACACAGTTGGAATAATCAACTAGGTTCAACTGGAATTTAGACCTGGGATGTCATTGAAACTTCTGTTTTTGCGCGCTAGGCCTGTGTGTGATGTGCAGTGTGTGAGTGCTAGTACACGAAGCAATTTTCTTCTCCTTGCTCTAAACTCAAATGTAAGTACTTTGAAAACGGATAGACATAGGCCTATTATGGATATGTAATATATTATTATGATAATTAACCTAACAGGTAGCCATTCGATTTTTACTTATTCCCACACTCCCGTTTAGTCTAGGCTAGGGCTAGCTAGCCTAGGCCTATGCTGCTAGGCTAGGCTTCTGCAATGGAACGCAAGGCAACCACTCTTAACTCCCTTCCCTATGGAAAGGAAGCTGCCAAGCGTAGTCTAGCGTAACTATCTGAGCCCTAGTTAGACTCAATTATCATGTATCTCATGGATTAGGCCTAGTAAAAGTACACTGTATGTCACAAATTTATAGAATGATATCATGTCATTTGTATGTAATGTAGGCCTAGGCTAGGCCAGGCCTAGTTCTCCGTTTTATCTATTTTGATTTTTAGAAGGCCCTTCCTTAGCCTAGGCTTAGGTAGGTAGGTACATTTTTTGAAAATTATTTAATATATATGTTTTATCATTAAATTTTAGACCAAAGATGGACCATAGAGAAAAATCCCTTATGGAAGTTGTGCAAAGATACAAAATATTATATGAAAGAAGGGCTGCCAACTACAAAAATAAGAGAACCATGAAAAAAAATGCTCTAGAAAAAGTGGCGGACGAGTTGAACTACATGAAGGTAAAATGCAGGGGAGAGGCAGCCTGGACGGGAGATCTTGTAGAACGGGCATATAAAAATGCACGTACTCACTTTTCGAGATAAGACGGTTTCTCATACATTATCTTTCTTATAAAGACAAACAAAAATATTGTTGTTTCCCTCTTAAGCCTAGTAAAATTTTGTAATGCAAAATGCTAATTCAGTAATATGCTCTTCATAAAATAATTTTTTTTTATAAACCTCCCCTCCCCTATTTGAATAATTGCACTGAGATTTGTCCAGTGGGGTAGATTGGACGTCTTGTTATTATTTTATTACAGTATTATATTTTTATGCCTGTAGATACCTTAAAGATTTAAAAAAAAAGATGAGATCAGGTGCAGGCATGGCTGAAATCCAGGATGCTGTGAGCAAGGAGTGGGAGGCCCTCCGGTGGCTAGTGCCTTACTACAAGGAACGAGTTGCAGCTGATACATGCTCTTTGGAGGAAGAGGAAGGTTTGTACACTGCATAATAATTATTACAATAAAAAAGGGCAAAAGAGTCATTTTACAACTATTAATACAGGCAGGAAAAAATCCACATTTTTCATTTTACCTAAATTTTTATTGAATTGAATTGAAATATTGTTCAGGAATTTCTGGCATTGCATAACAAATACATAAAAAGTGGTTACTTTTAAAGTTATTTTATTTGCTTTAACAGATAATAACCAAGAAGACTACTCCTTTGATGAGGGTTCTAAGACACAGGCTACTAAAATTCCTCATTCAAGGATATTGAAATTGATATCCGTTTAAAGTTGACTATTAATTTATATATTTTAGATTGCCTGATAAGGAAATGCTTTTTCTTTTGAGTTTATAATTTCAATTTTCATACTTATTGTTTTAATTTGGAATATTTATAAAGTGATCTATTGTGAATGTTTTTCTATTTAATGTTAGATCAAGATGGGGAGGACTTTGAAACTCCAGTACAAGCACGAGTTTCCCCACAAGAACCTGAACTTGTTTCTAAGAAGAGAAAAGTAGCAGATAGAGAAAACATTGAAGGTCATTTCCACAACATAATTAATCCATTTTTTAAAATTTAATCTTCAGATTTAATTTTTGTTCCTTTTTCTAGTGTTATACAATTAAAT